AAGATATCAAACTTTTAATTTAAACTTGGTAGTAATGGAATATTAATGAATATGTAATACAGTGCCGGTTTGCCTACCATTAATTAGTGGCTATAGCGTTTGATGAAGTATTTTCTAATTATATTTTATTGTCTATTTACATATAAAACTTTTAGATTGAACGATATGAAACGCATAATCATAAGAATAATTAAAAGGAACTGTAAAAAGAGTAGGTATAAGTGCAATAGTTGTAATCTTTGTTATATAGCTGCAACTAAATTTAATTTTGCTTTGAATGAGCAATGCTGTACTGGAAACTTTCCTATTTAGTACACATTAATAATATAGTTACATAGGTTTTAATACGAGCCCACTCATCATGACACCAGTCAGCTCGTCGTGACCATCGCTAATGCACCCTAGTCAGAGCGTCGATGAAACTAAATTCCATCATTTACCATAAAATTATCCGTGTAACTATATTCATAGCTTACACTTATTTTGGTCTAAAGATTGTCCATCTCAATCCTTAAATCTTGAGGTCTCTATTTTGTCTTCTTTATCTCCAAAAGCAAACTCTTGTTCCACTTTCTACTTTAAGAGATTAAAATGATTAAGATTTTAATCTGTAGGCATTTAAATTCAAAGAATATATAAAAGAAGTTATTTAACAAAGAATTCAATGTTTTTGATTGAACACCGAGAAATGTATCCCCTAAGGGTACCTAATAATAGATATGTTAATATTACTTAGCAAATTACAAATCTGGAATTTGTACCTAGCTTACAATTATATTTTATTACTTAAGTAAAAAGTGTCCCCCTTTTATACTGTTATATACATATTTTACAGATTACATTGTGTTATCTCAGCTAAGAAGATTCGCTAACATTAACTATCTACTTGTTTAGGTACAGGAATAAATTCGTTAATCCCAACCTGTAACTAACTAAGAAATCACCATTTTTATTTATTTCAACTAAAATTCTTAATCGAATAGTAATTTGTCAACATTATTTTAAACAAATCTTTTATTGTAACTACGTTTCTATTAAAACTGGAGTACTTGTATAAATATCAGTATAAATCGTATTTATGAAAATTATATAAATTAGTAAACAACCAATTAGAATTAAAAGTAATATGTGGTTTACAATGGTATTCATAGAACTCATGAAAAATAACAATGCTTATATTTTATAACAATATAATCCAAATTTATTCATTTTTCCACCCAGTCAAATCACGTCCACATACGTGTACAGCTGCGGGGAATATTTTATATCTTTAAATAAGGTATAAATATTCTATTATTTTATGACTCGTATCTGTTTCATACAGAGAGTGACCTGGAACCAAATAAATTCAGTATCCATGCAATCAAAGAGTATTTATTTTATTTATAGCTTTTTTATGGAGGCGTTTACTACATCCCTAAAAAAGGGGTATCATGGGCAATAGCTATCATGTATTGTGACACATTTAATATACGATCTTTATTCAGTGTCTCTGAGTATATGACTCGTGACGTTCAATTCTCGGTTAGACCAGTTTCTGAAAGGACCTATTTTTTAATTAAGCATTGAGCGTTACCTTTTATAATGCTACATATGAAAGTGTTCACATTAGTTTATATTATAACAAAAATAACTGTAAGAATTACATAATCAAGTATACTACTGATATTATTTCTTTTCTAATCATTTGGTCCTATATACAGATTGTTTAAACTTAAATTCTATTGCAGTTCTCGGTGTTACCTTTGCTCTTAATTGGAGAACACTTACGTGTATTTGATATATTGAATATAAAATTGTGGCAATAACTTTATTATATCACGTATTCTATTTTTTTGTAATGGAATAATAAACGTAAGAAGCAATATATAGATATAATACATAATTATTGTTTACTCCTCGTAAGTGGACTATATCTCTCAAAACTTTGTTTAGAATTTAAATTTGATACTGTTTACTTGTATTACAAACTGCGACTTCTAATAATTAAGAATACTTTTATAAATATTGTAAGTTCTACATTAGTTTTATTTAATTTCTGACTATTATTTAGAAACTGATAGAAAAGAGAGTCGTGGCTATTAAGAGTTCAACTCTGACCTATCTGATATTCAGAGTGAGGGAAACATGATTAACAAACCAAATTAAACCGAGAGACGATAGAACTTGCTTCTTGCGACGTTGAATACAAATATATCTAGGAAAATATAAGTTTAGCAAATGTTGTGGCCAATATAACGTCGACGGTTGATAATGCATCTTAAAGTAAACTTTTAAATAAAAACCTGCTCAAACTTCGTCACAATAAATTTATATTAGGGGTACCGCCTGTCATTTTGTAGATAATTGAATTAAATTTCGTAATTGTCGTTGTTTCGTTAGCTTTTAAAGTAATACCAGTTATGACAACACCGTGACAACTTTGATGGGAAGCCCAATCATAGAGATAAATTTTCTATCAATCAATTTAAAGTTAATAACTTTGAAGAAGCCATTTTAGAGGAATCAGATTATTTTCGCAAATAGACTTCGTTTACCGGTCTGTACTTAAATGTTTCACTCATAACTTAATTTAACTTCATGATTTATTATATTTGCAGACAATATTTAAAATAAAATGATCTAATAATAATCGTATAATATATCACTATATGGGATCAGCCATAAATAAATTATTCCTTTATTTATCTTTACACTAGTGACTGAGGTAGGTAGACACAACCAAATATTTTCTATTTAATAAACTGGACTTAGACGTATTCCTAAAGAATAATGTTATTGTTATATCATACTCTTTATATAATGAAAACAATATTGATGAGCCCATTGATTTCACCCAGTTTTATTCTCGATTTGCTAAGCTGAAGAGTAAACGTTACTATGAGGTTGTATCCCACTCAAGTGTAAACGAAATATCTCTATATCTCCTTTGGAAAGTATACACTCTATCTTGAGGAGATAAAGACCATCGCTCATCTCGCGCAACAATATGTTTCAACTGTTGTCCCTGAGGGTCTAGGTAGCGAACTCTGAAGAAGGGCGAATACAATAAATCTATGTAGGTCGCAGTGTTACAGCACATGACAATAACCCAAAATACTCAATAATAAAAAGAAACCTCGACTACGAGTTTACTATCGGTAGATGAACGGTACATGTACTATATATATTCACCGTTTCACTTCCGATGGTGGTAGGTTCGACTCCTCACATATTTATATTCATAATCAAGATTGGAGCGGTCTAGGTGTCTTCTATACATATTATGTATTTTAAAAAAATATCCATTGTCAATTACCCATAATACAAACTCTGCTTACCTTGCAACTAGATAGCTTTGTTTGAATTATCCAGAAGTATTATTATTATTACTATATATATGCTTATAAAATGTCTACAATATATTAAATCTGCTATTCTGTATTGTGCTCCATTTTGAAAATTATGACTGTGTAAATTTACATCGACTGACCCTAATACCATGTGAACAGTAGTAACACCGGCATAATTTATTCTATTAGATGGCGGTTCTGTCTGACATTGCGAAATATTGCCGAAAAGTAATTAACTTTACCCTTATTAATCACCTTAAAGCTTGTTAGGAATACGTCACTTCAACTTTCCATCCACTTCATATCCAACTTCACGAAGATAATTTGCATTCGGAATTAATGTCGAGTAGGCACCTTTACATGGCCAGAATTATTATACGCAAGCACTGAAATATCATTTACAGGAGGGACCAGAGGAACCACGCAAAATGTTACACTAACCATATGTGTGGGTATCTATGTTCACCAATTTTAACAAGCAATGTTCCGATTTTTTTATGTAATGTATTAATTTTTAACTATTATAAATCTAAACTGGAATGGCAAACAAACTGACCACGCAACTGATGGTGGTAGATATCATAACTAACAGAGGCAGAATACATTCATAAGATTAAATATTTTAATTATTTAATATTATAAATATAAAAAAGTTATGATCGTAGTATGTCTATTATATAATATATAGTTATAAAGTATGTATAAATGTGTAATAATTCATTAATTTATCTAATGGTTGACTGGGAGAAATGCCTCTTGGTGTCAAGTCCACAATGGCACCTTTATTTGTGTATTTGAGCATTAGTTTTAATAAATAAATAATTAATCATTTAAAAATTTATGTTAATACTTTATTAAAAAACTAACTAATACCAAGTCCAGAATTATTAAGAATTACAATTATCTGAGATAAGTTTCAAATTCTTTGAAACTCTAGGATCATTAAAATTATAGATCGCGTAAGCAATATCTTATATAGTATAATGAACTTCGCTCATTATCCAAAAGGGCAATACTTGTATTCATCTTGTATAAAGTTAAATTTTCAGACAAGAAAATATACTACAACGCCGTTATTCAGCTTTTTCAGACTATTTACTTCTCTTTTCAAAAACTCTCTATAAGTTTGCGTAGTAGTGTTATCTCTAGCGTAGAAAACACTTATATAAAAAAGATATTCTTAATGCAAATGCATATATAGTTTGTTTGTGTCATTTCCTTAAAAGATGAGCGAATTTTAAACACAATGTATGAATAATTTTATGTTTCAATGTTCAATAAAATGTTAAAATGTTTAATAATATCACACGGCATTAAGCTCGATATTTACGTATACTAGTTTTATTGTCCAATAAAGTATAAAAATAAATAAATGTAATTAATCTTTACAAATTATGTTAGAATAAGTATTAATTTATGCCTTCGTCTTTTTATATTACTATAACATGCAATTAATAATTATTAAATATTTTTTTTCGGCGGGTAGTTAGAGTCAGTGACACATTGTGCTCTCTATTAATATTGAAATAAAATAAAATTATACATTATATTTCAAAATATTTAATTGTAAATTATAGTTTTACATACCATAGTGCCATTAAACAAATAAACATTAATATGTGCATGTGTTAACTTTTAAATCTTTCACTGCCTTGTCCTGTCGGTTAAACAACAAGTTCTAAATCACTAGAAATCCAATATCACTTTTATTATGGATAACTACACACAAATCCTAGAAAACCAACAAAGTTTTGAAGCCAACTTATCAAAGAGGATGCTTGAATTTGAGCAAAGGCTCAACCAGACGACGCCCGATTACAACAAAACAGTGGCTGGTATCTCAGATGAGTTTCAATTGTTCAAACGGGAAACCTTGAGTATCTTTAGCCTCCTTCGCCAACAAATATCTGGTCTTGTTGATGCTATTGATGTCATGGAGATGAGACACCGTAGGAAGTACCTACTAATTGGCGGCATCTCTGAAGATGTTAAAGATGATAATTTGGTAGGCTTTGCATCTCAACTCATAAGGAATCAGCTAGATTTGCCACAAGTAACTGTTGACAAGCTGACTGTGTGTCATAGACTGGGCAAGCAAAGTCAGGGGAAGCCACGGCCCACACTGGTTCGGTTTGCGGAGGCCACCCTTAAGTCTGTAATATGGAAGAAGACGGGTTTTAGGGGAACTCCATATTCTTTATCCGAATTCCTCACTCGCAGGCGGCAATCTCTCTTTCTTCAAGCGAGAGAACGGTTCGGTATGAGAAAGTGTTGGACATTTGATGGCAATATAAATGTTTTAACGCCTGATGGCTCGAGACATCGACTTCGTGGTGAAGAGGATCTAGTCAGGCTTGCAGAGAGCATGGAAGATCTGAAGGATGGCTATGGTGTCGCAGTCGCAGCTGAAACCGATTGTGGGCAGTCATCGAATGCTTCTCCAGAGGCTCGTGGCAAGAAGACAAAGCGAGCAGTCAGGAAGAAATGAGTCTTCATTGTATGACATTATTGTTCTAGTTCCCATTTTAATTTCTCATATGTATTCCCTATTTATTGCGCACTAAGTATTACCCTCAAATTTGTTTATAATTTGAATCTTCAATTTTAAAGAATTCAGAGTATGACACAATTGCACAGGTTATCACTTTAAGACACGGACTGACTGACACCTGACAGTTACTGTAATGTGACATATTTATGTCATCACATTGTCAGTCAAAATGTATTCGATTTGGTTTCCTGTGATTTTGCCATAATGTGCAATTATTTGTTTTTTGTTTTTTATTCTTTGTTTGGGTTTTTTTTTTCTTATCTTTTTACTGCGCTTTGATGTGTTTTATTATAAACAACATTTCCTACTATTGTTGACCGGCGGGACATGCAGCAATAAATTCTGCTTGTTCTTTTTATTAAACTTATTTATTTAATTATATAGGATAATTTATATTTTTATTTATTTATAATATGTCTGATGATGATTCTTTTTTTTCAGCCTATGAAACTAGTTTATCTTCGAACTGTAGCTCTGACTCTTTTCATGTACCTTATACACTTAACAATTTAATAACAGATGTTACTACAAATACATGTTCTTCATTTAACGTTTGTCATATAAATGCTCAAAGCATACCCTCTCACTACTCTGACCTTATTGATACTTTCCCTTCTTCTTCTCCTATGCACGCCATACTCGTTTCTGAGTCTTGGTTAAAACCATCTCTCTCCTCTTACTCTTACTGTCTCCCAGGTTATGTTCTGATACGCAATGATCGTGTTGGTAGAGGTAGTGGAGGCGTCGCTATATACTTGCGGAGTGACATTCCTTTCTCCATCTTATGCAAATCAGAACCTGTTTATACTGCTTCTGCTGAGTATATTATGTTAGAAATAACGATCAAGGGCATTAAAGTGGTTCTTGGAGTGGTATACTGTCCTCCGTCAGTTGATTACTTTTGTCAACTCGAATCAGTTCTGGAAGCTATCTCAACGGATTACACACATCACATAATCATGGGTGATTTCAATACTGACCTGCTAAAAAGCACACCACGCTCTCAAAAACTTCTTGATATAACTAAGTCAGTCAATTTTGCTATTCTTCCTTCTGGACCTACTCATCGTAATCACCTTTCTTCTGACACATGGCTTGACTTAATAATAACATCTTCTCAGGATCATATTACAAAATACGGTCAGTTATCCGCCCCTGGCTTCTCGAAACATGACCTTATTTATCTACTTTATAAATTGAAACCACCTAAGTCTAAGCCTACGATAATTTACACGCGCAATTTTGCTAGGATGAATCCAGAACGTGTAAGGATCGATTTGGAGAATGCTGACTTCACACCTCTGCTAGCTGCATCATCAATTGATGACAAAATATCTCTTTTTAATAACGCGATTTTAAAATTGTATGATAAGCATGCACCATTAAAAGCTGTGAAGATAAAGAGACCTCCTGCTCCGTGGATTACCAGGGGAGTACGTATGGCTATGACTAGACGAGACAGATCCTTTCGAAATTATAAGCGTGATAGGTGTGACACTAAATGGAATATTTATAAATCAGCTCGAAACCGCTGCAATCAAATGGTGAGAGGAGCCAAACGTCAATATTTTCACGACAATCTATTAAATACTTCCTCAGCCAATATATGGAAGTTTCTACACTCCCTTGGACTCGGTAAATGCCCCACCTCTTGTAATACCTTTCCATTTTCTTCTAATGATTTAATTCAACATTTCACATCTACTATTTCACTTGACCCTTCCACAAAATTATTCACTGTTTCTAAAATATCTTCCATGGCCCAGCCAGATATTGATTCTTTCTCATTTTCTCCAATAGCTGAGGATGAAACCTACAAAATTATTCAATCTTTGAAGTCTAATGCGGTGGGCTGTGACGATGTGAACCGGAAAATGATCATCTCTATCCTTAGTTCCATTCTCCCTATTATAACTCATATCATTAATCACTCCTTCCTTACTGGTACATTTCCCCATCTCTGGCGAAAAGCATTCATTCTTCCTCTTCCTAAAATACCTATACCTAATAAATTGAACGATTTTAGACCGATATCAATCCTGCCTTTCCTTTCCAAGGTCCTGGAAGCAGCTGCATATAGGCAAGTTTCCTCCTTCATCCTTAATAATAATCTACTTAGCACTTTCCAGTCTGGGTTTCGCCCTGGACATAGCACTTCTACTGCTCTTCTAAAAATTACTGATGATATTCGGTCGGGTATGGAGGATAATATGGTCACCTTTCTCGTTCTAATAGATTTTTCCAATGCGTTTAACATGGTAGACCATGACATCCTCCTATCCATCTTGCTACACCAAAGGTTCTCATCCTTAGCTTTGGATTGGTTCTCATCCTACCTTCGGGGACGACAACAAGCCATTAGAATTGATGGTAAATTATCTAACTGGTGTGATCTATCAACCGGCGTACCCCAAGGTGGGATTCTATCCCCATTATTGTTTTCCACTTTTATAAACTGTCTTTCTCCTATTCTTGGCTGTTCTTATCATTTTTACGCAGACGATTTGCAAATCTATGAGCATGTCTCTTACGATAACATAAATCAGGCTATATCAAAAATCAACAAAGATCTATGTAGCATTTACACATGGTCTTGTAACTTCGGTATACAAGTTAACCCTAAAAAATGTCAAGCTATAATCGTTGGTAGCCCAAAGCAGTTGGCTAAAATTGATTTCCATACTGTTACGCCTATCACGTTTGATAATTCTGTAATTGCTTTTAGTCAGACTGTTAAAAATCTTGGTCTTCATATAGATTCAACTCTGAGTTGGATTCCGCAAATTGCGCATGTTAGTCGTAAGGTTGTGTCATCTCTGCGCTTCTTAAATCGATTCAGAAATTTTCTTCCTATTAAAACAAAGGTCAGTCTAGTCCAATCTCTTATACTTCCCATCATTGATTATGCTGATGTGTGTTATCCCGATCTTAATGAAGATCTTCTCAATAAATTAGAACGTCTTGTAAATAATGCAATTCGGTTCATCTTCAGCCTACGTAAGTATGACCACATTTCCTCATACCGCTCCAAACTCAAATGGCTTCCAATTCGTCAGCGCAGACAGCAACGGTTACTCTGTTCTCTCTTTTCTATTCTCTTTGATCCCTCTTCCCCTGAATACTTGAAATGCAAATTTCAGTATCTCAGGGACGTCCATGACCGTAACCTGCGCTCTAAAAATTCCCTCGTCCTAGCTACGCCCCTCTATAAAAGTAGTTTCATGTCTGACTCTTTTATTTTGCAAGCCTCGCGTCTCTGGAACTCACTGCCTGAAGACATTCGTACACTTCCTACAAAATATAGTTTTAAAAAAAGAGTTAATGCTTACCTTTTAAATAGTCTATCATAGAACTGCAAAATGATCATCATCATCATTATCTTATTTATATGTGTAGTATGTTTATAATATATATAAATATGTATGTATGTATGCTCATAATTCGTTTGTATGTAGTATATTATCATGTATATGTATGATCTTATATCTATTTAATATAATTACATTTAATTTCTTGAAACGAAACCGCCTTCGAGTATCTCTGCACTCCCTAAGGTTGGCTGGTAGAGAATGCTATTAGCATTAAGCCCGCCTATTGTACAAATTCAATGAAGTTTTTAAATAAAAAAAAAAAAAAAAAATAAATAAATAAATTATAAATGCGAATATGACTTACTTAAAAACACTTACCTATTCATGTAAACAATGTAAATAGGTAAATAGAACGAAACGTGTCTATCAACATCCTTTGTTTTACTAACACGTGTATGTGATTTGTACAGTAACAGATATTTCATCACTTCATAAGCGTACTTATATAATACGTACAAATATGTAATCGTGTTTCATGCTTGACATAATGTACTTCAATTACAAGATTTTGACGTATGAATTTTTAAGTGTACACAACACGGTTAAAATAGTTAGATTGTTAAATCAATTATTGTCGTTCATTTAATTATATTCCTGGACAATTCGTTTTATCATTAAATTGATGTTTTTGTAATCGAATAAATAGTTTCATAATTGTCATAAAATATACGAAATAGGTTACATATTTACGCTTATTAATATATTTCTGCCCAAAACAATTGAACAGCAAACTATACTATTTCTATTCTACTCTTTGCGTTTCTATAAACTGGCTATCTGCTCAAGGCCTAGAAGTAGTAAAAGATTTTTATTGAAATATTTAATGAATATTTAAAAATTACCGTATTATTTTTGTTATGATTTAATGCAAGTTTACAACGCTTAAATTAAAATTTATTATCTTTATTTTTTATACATATACACTTAATAAAGAATAATCAGAAAAACTATTACTATTTTTCTATTTCTATTTTCTAATTTCGCACACTTCAACAGTGCAGACTGCTAATATTTAAAAAATATATGCATAATAATTATATTAAATAATAAAAGAACATTACACAAACTATGATGTATTTGACGCACACACGCAAATATACTCCTTTATTTATTATAAGGTCTATGGTCAAACTGAGAATTATTATAACAGAGCGAATAATAAAAATAACAACTGTCTCATTTCAAAGATGTTTTATTTTAATACCTCCTAAGCTGGGAAGCTTCCATCAGTACACATTGTATATATGTTTTAATATCTATATCATTAAGGGTAGGTAATGAATGCCTTCTTCTAATTTTCTTGAGCCGAGTGCAATATGCATAAACCTCTTTACTAAATTGCAACATTAAGGTAAACTTTCCAATACAAAATGTTTACAGAACTAAATTTGTATTAAATTTTTTTATATTTTCATATTGTGAAATATACTGCTATTTATACGTTATTACATAGTTAGCGTAAAATACGTGGAAAAGGTAAAATAAATAAAGTAAAATAATAAATCCAATTATACAGTTAAATTTACATAATTTTAGTAAATATATGTCAGTAACAATAATATTTAACCTTCTATTATATTTCTAACTACAAAGTATACGTAGAACAGAATGGTAAAGAAAATCAAACCTTTGATCGTAATACATGCAAACTAAAAAGGTTTCTTTGATAACAATACATTTAGCGTAGGCTCAAAG